TAATTCAGAGAGTGAATTGAAAATGTTCTTTGAACTAGAATCATTAGGAATTAAAGATGATCCTTATTCAGAAGTTAAACAACAAAAATCAGCGTTATATTTACAAAATTTTCACAGGACTAGTTTCGATGATTTTACCGAACCACCATCTTCAGCTGCAAAAACCCAAATGAACCAAGATAGGAAAATGATTAGATAAGATAAGAAAGCCTGGACAAGAATAAGCAAGTGGCGCCATCTGTTGGTGAAACCAGAACTAAAACATAATTTCTTTAAAGGCCGAAGGCAAATTTGGATTGGAATTAGGATCGTTAACTAGAACAGAAAGATTTTTATGAATGTGAAATGCCTCTAGAAAGTTCATCAATGGAAGATGTTTTTTGAATAATTTTGGCAGCAGAAAAATTGAAAGTGTGATTTTCGGACCAACAATGTTGAGCAACAGAAGACTTCTGTGTTTCCTTTTTTCTAACATATGCCTCATGTTCTTTGACGCGAAACTTTAAGGCTCTCTTAGTTTGGCCAATGTAAATTAAACCACACTGGCAATCCTATAAATACCCCAGGAATTCATATCCGGAATGGGGTCCTTGAGTATAGAAGTTGGAATTTTATTGATGGGAGAATAAACAACCCGAAAGTTAAATTTCTGCAAAATATGTGCAACTTTATAGCTAATTGATGGAAAGAAGGAAATGACAACAGAATTTTTATAATCTCCTAAAACAGAGTGTGCCTTTTAGTGTGTTTGAGCTGAGAATTTTTTAACTGCTTGATTAATAATGTTGGGTGGAAAGCCCCTGTCAATAGCTATTGCTTTTAAATAATTTAGTTCTTCATCAAGGGCTAGTTTGGAGGAGCAAACTTGAAGAGCACGGAAAACATAGGAATAAAATGAAGCTAACTTTTGTTAGTCGGATGACATGATTTAAAGTGTGGTGGAAGGCAAACCGATGAAGGTTTACGGTAAACCGTAGTACTGAAGTTGGATGTGTTATGTGTGACCAGAATGTCGAGAAACGGAAGAGAATTGCAAGTCTCAAGTTCAAAAGTGAACTGAATAGCAGGATCAATAGAATTCATTGTTGAAAGAACTTTATTTAAATCATCATTATTACCTTCAAACAGAGTAAAAGTATCATTTACATAGCGGAACGAACCATACCGGGAAGTTTAAAGTTTCAAACAATTTTGATTCATAATAATGTATGTAGATATCAGCCAGGATGGGACTGAGGGGGCTTCCCATGGCTAATCCCTCATTTGCTTGTAATATTTATTGTGGAAAACAAAATGTGTTGTTTTTCAAACAGAGTTGAGTGAGAGAAATTAGCTCATCAATTTCGATGCAAGAGAAATGAAATTCGCGAAGTCTGGTTTCTAGACATCTTAATGCACCCTTCACTGGGACATTGGTGAATAATGATTTTACATCAAAAGAAACCATGAGTAAATTACTAGGAGAAATGTTTTTAACTTTTTTTAACAAACTCTATTGAATTTTTTATGGTGTAAATGTTATTGTCTAATTAGACAATAATTAAAATCAAATTTAGATACTGCCTCGTATCCGCTAGCTAAATATTTATTTTCTATTGATCCTGCTAGTCAGTTCACTTTTAAACTTGAGACTTGCAATTCTCTTCCGTTTCTCGACATTCTGGTCACACATAACACATCCAACTTCAGTACTACGGTTTACCGTAAACCTTCATTGGTTTGCCTTCCACCACACTTTAAATCAAGTCATCTGACTAAACAAAAGTTAGCTTCATTTTATTCCTATGTTTTCCGTGCTCTTCAAGTTTGCTCCTCCAAACTAGCCCTTGATGAAGAACTAAATTATTTAAAAGCAATAGCTATTGACAGGGGCTTTCCACCCAACATTATTAATCAAGCAGTTAAAAAATTCTCAGCTCAACACACTAAAAGCCACACTCTTGTTTTAGGAGATTATAAAAATTCTGTTGTCATTCCCTTCTTTCCATCAATTAGCTATAAAGTTGCACATATTTTGCAGAAATTTAACTTTCGGGTTTTGTATTATTCTCCCATCAATAAAATTCCGAGTTCCATACTCAAGGACCCCATTCCGGATATGAATTCCTGGGGTATTTATAGGATCCCTTGCCAGTGTGGTTTAATTTACATTGGCCAAACTAAGAGAGCCTTAAAATTTCGCGTCAAGGAACATGAGGCATATGTTAGAAAAAAGGAAACAGAAGTCTTCTGTTGCTCAACATTGTTGGTGGCCCGAAAACCACACTTTCAGTTTTTTCTGCTGCCAAAATTATTCAAAAAACATCTTCCATTGGAGAATTGGATTTTCTAGAGGCATTTCACATTCATAAAAATCTTTCTGTTCTAGTTAATGATCCTAATTCCAATCCAAATTTGCCTTCGGCCTTTAAAGAAATTATGTTTTAGTTCTGGTTTCACCAACTGATGGTGCCACTTGCTTATTCTTATCCAGGCTTTCTTATCTTATCTAATCATTTTTCCCATCTGGTTCATTTGCGGTTTTGCAGCTGAAGATGGTGGTTCGGTAAAACCATCGAAACTAGTAACTAGTCCTGTGAAAATTTTGTAAATATAACGCTGATTTTTGTTGTTTAACTTCTGAATTGGTATTTATTCGGCGTGTTATTGTGTCTTAATTATGATCCTTATTGTCATGAGGAAGACAAAGCATTGGAAATATTTAATAAGACAGTTTGTTTTAAAGCTGGTCGCTATGAGGTTACTTTACCTTGGAAAAGGGACTGGAGGGAATTAGCTGATAATTACCAAGTAGTGGAAAATAGATTAAAAACTCTTGCAAAGCGAATGAATTATGACAAAACACTGTTTTCTACATATAGTGAAATATTAGATGATTATCTCAAGCAATATATCATTGAAAGAGTGTCAGATGGAAATATACCTATCGGTAAACCAGTGTTTACCTACCACACCAACCGGTATTTAGAGAAACCAGTTGCTCCAACGAAGACTAGAATAGTGTTTGATGGCACTCACATGAGTTCGGGCAGCTATCACTGAACTATTGTCTATGGACAGGACAAATTTTAAATCCTAATATTCCATGTGCTAATTAATTTCCGATTAAATAAAGTTGCAATTTCACCGGATGTAGAAAAAGCATTTTTGCAGATTGCTTTGGCAGAAAAAGATCAAGACGCAGTGCGATTCCTGTTTGTGGAAAACACACAATTAAATGATTTAACCCCGGCCTCCCAAACTCCACCGAAATTTGGGAGGCTAGGTTTAAATCATTTAACCCTGGCCTCCCAAATTTTGTCATTTGAGTCATTTGAAGAGAGTTATTGGTAATCAGTGTTTAACTTTAGAAGAATTTTTAACTGTTTTAACTGAAATTGAAGAAGTATTGAACTCAAGACCTCTTACTCCAATTTCAGCTGATTACAATAATTTTGAAACTTTGAACCCAGGTCACTTTTTGGTTGGTAGACCTATCACAACTCTAGCTGAGCCAGATTTATCCAACATAAATGAAAACAGACTTTCATAATGGCAAGAATCTCTAAGTATACACAAAAAATTTGGAAATTATGGAAACGTGATTATCTTAATATTTACAAGAACGTCACAAGTGGAATTTTTTAAAGGATGACGTTCAGTTGGGAAACTCTTGTATTAAAAAAAAGATGAAAATTTGCCTTCAACCAAATGGTTAGTGGGGAGAATAGCTGAGGTTTTTCATGGTAGGGATAAGAAAATAAGAGTAGTAACTGTAAGATTGCCTAATCAGCATTTGCTGAAAGGAAATGTTTGAGATATATGTATACTTCTTGTAGAATGATGGTTTATTTCTATTATAAACTAGTATTTGTTGTAATAATTTGAATGTATATTTTTCAATATTGTGATTTGTTATTGTGAAGTAATTTATTGTAGTAGCTTTATATTTACATTTATTGAAATAATAGTTTGAAATTATTAATTTCAACGCCGGGAGTGTTTTGTATTAGCTGAGAAATGCTTGGCGCCATAGCGGAATCTTGGCTAATGGCGCATGCGCCGCCGGAATTGGTATTGAAATGTATTCTATGAGAAACTTGATTTTTGGGGTACATTGGATGTTGCGATTCATATGTTACGCTGTAAGGTGAAACCTAGCGCCAGAGAGTCGCTATGGAAAATAAACGTATTGAAACTGTGTAATGTGTGTGGTGTTATTTTATTATGATATATAGCTATTGATGGGAAATAGAATAAATCAATTCAATATCCTTAAATGGTCTTCATATAGAATCATTGCCTCATTCAGAGAAAATTCCTATGGTGGCTTACAAATAGTATGTAATTGCTTCAACAGATGTTGGAGAACCAATCCAACTTTGCTGTCACCCACATTTTGAACAAACAAGTTACCACTAAAATGCCAGAAATTCCAGATTTGTTTCCAGCTAATTCTGCTCATTGTTTTCCTAATATAAGAAATCCTATTAAAGAGTAGTACTAAAGTATACTGCAATTCCTTCTTTAGTCATTAAGGTCTCATAAAAATTATAGCTGGTATGAATTTTTTCATTTCTTTTAACGTTTTTCTACTTTAAGGATTCTGGGGATCTTTTATATTTATCAGAATTCTGGTTTTAATATAAAAAAGATTGTTCAAACAAATTTTCTTTTTTTAGATTGAAACTATATTTTAATCTAAAAAACAGTGCAATAGGGGGTAACTATTTCAACAATGAAGATAATAGCTGGAAATAAATGTTTCTAAACCAATATGCAATGGCTTTTATTTCAAAGTTTGACACCATTATCATGTGTTCATAGCAGGCATGGCCAACAAGTTGGATGCGAGAGACCAATTAATCACACAGTCCATTTTGGTCATTTAAGACATATCAACATTTGTAGCTATATATCAACAGCTACATTTAAGACATATCAACATTTGTGTCTGAAAGACTTAAAAAAAAATTACTATTCACCTAATTTAAATTTAGCAGAAAATAAGCAGAGTTTACCTCTAAAAAATACTGTTCTTTCACATATGTTCGATCAAAAGCCACATTATGCCCAATAATAAGTCTTGGAACCCATTTTTCATTTCCTGGAGGTTTCACCTCTCCTTTCTTTGTTTCTAGAGGTATAAGATCATTCAAGGAAACATTCTTTGACAGCACAAATTGATTCTGGACTAATTTTTCACTACACCATAAATACCTGAAAATTTACAAAGTAATACAGATATTAAAAAGCAAATCTAAATTACGTATGAATAGATATAGCTCTGGACATGTGTTTCAAAGTTACACATATATGAGAAAACAAATACAAACAGATATACATGCAAATGAAATTAGGAAATTTTACAGAATTTTTAACACGGAAGTATAAACACATTGATGGCCATCAGAATTGCTATACCATGAAGGCAACATGCAACAAATGTCAAATCTGCATGAAAGGTACTACATGTGAACAAAGCAGTTATGAGTAATACTATCTACATTATGTATAAAGAGAAGATTGCACAGCAGGTTTCTAATTTCAAAACTATACTTAATATTGATTGTTTATGTAAAGTTTGTCTTATTTCTACTGAAAGGAGAAACTTTGAGATGCACGTGTAAAATGCAAGTGTAAAAATTTGAACCCTGGACGTCATGCAACTACGATGCCATGAATACTACAACAGTGCAATTACCATTTTCACCACAAGATGGCATCGCAACAACAGTAACTGCACAAGCAAAAGCTCAGTTAATTTTTTTCATAACTTACATTATCATTCTATTCACAATACATTAGTTTATTAAAGAACAATATATTCAACATTAAATTGTTTTTACTTTATGAGATTTAAAGCTTATATGTCTATTTTAGAAGATTTGCAAACAAAACAAAAACTGCTCTCAATGACAATGTTCTTTGATTAAAATTAAGAATAATAATAAAAAAATAGTGTTATTCTTGAACAGAAATTATGATAATTCTTTCCAAATTGAAATTGACATCAAGCAAAACAGTTTTTCCATTTATCTAACCTGATAAAATGTAGTATCACTCGAAAAGTAACTTTATCCACTTGAAATTAATTTTTTACCCTGGTCTACCAAATCAATGTTCCTGGAATTTTTCACATTGAAATAGACATCTATGTACTTATGAGGACCAAACTATGTTGAGCAGAATTTTTTTCAAAAACTAAATTTTTATGCATTTAGAGTTGAATTATTCTTGCATATTCTTGTTTAATGGTGGTTAGTAAATAATCAGCATGTATTTCTAATCTTTTTTTTTTTTTTTTTTTTTAGGTAGATCAAAAAGAATCTTTTAAAAGAAAAAAAGAATTAAATAAATTTTGAAATAATTCATTAAATTTTCTAAACTACCACATACATCTGCTAGCAGCAATGCATTTTTAAATCAAAAGATTTAATCTTTTGTTAGCAGCCTTAGGATATTAAGTGATAATGAGATTAGATATCTAACTTAAATGAATAATGAAATGTTGAAGGTATATAACCTATGGAATTAATTGACAGATCTCGAAAAAGAATGACAATAATTGATTAAAAAGAAATTAGTTTCTGCATTCAGAGATAACATTTTTACTCTTTGTAATTTTTCCTATGCTTGATAAAATATACATATTGTTACGTTTTTTATTCTTCTGACACCAGTTGTTACGTTATTTTCTTCCTTCCTGTTTGCACGTGGTTCGTGTGGATTTGGAGTGAATAACGACGACACTTGATGAAGCATCAAAACACACTTTATTCAGTCCATATTAATCAGAACAGCTCCAATAACACTTTTTACAGTCGTCGAAGATCTACTATAAACGCGCTGGAACAATCAGCGACACAGCCTTCAGGCTATCACAGTGGAGACAGATTCCTGCAAAGCACCCGACTCTGCTTGGTCGTTCTTGGAACTCCACGTACTCTCGAGACTCTCCACGCCACAACTCGCGATGCTCTTGAAGACACACAGAGCACAGCTCCTGACTCTTCGGTTCAGTCATTCCTGGAGCTCAGCACACTCTCTCGACAATGCACTACCGCGACATCATACGAAGAGACGCTTTCGATGCACCTCGACGACTCGGCACTCCCTGCTCGGCTGTCAACTCGATCGACTTCGCAGGGATTGACTTGCTAGACAAGACATCAACTCGATACTAACTAACTCGCCCTTTTGACGAGGCACACACACTCTCACTCCAGACGAGGGACTCTGACTCGCTCTCTCGATGAAGCACACACTGACTGCGGACCAGCAGGGTTTATATAGCTTTCGGCTTGTGTTCAAGAACATTCTGGGCTAAACCGGTAAGAATTCGTTCCAGGAGTTTCTACATTTGTCCATGGTATATCGCCAATTTTGTCGCCAAATGGACGATTTCTCGCCAAATGTGGCAACCCTGTGTTTTCCCTTGCCATTTTATGGCAACCCTGAAACTGCTTTGCGGGGAAGCCATCTTACCACGCCTGTACATTTCATAATAATATATATCTGTTCCTAATAATAAATTTTCGGCGTATATATATATATATACACACGAGGTGTGACACAAAAAGTGGAGTTGGCAACAACTGTTTTGGGGACACCATCCCTCACACCTCCTCTATCCATGTGTCCAGTTTCGACTTAACCGATCACGCCAGTTGGGAATGCTGTGTCATTGAGTGAACATGTGCAACTGCACAGTTGTGAAGTAATGGATGGCTGTTGCGCCAGGACAATGCACCTGCTTACACGGCCTTATCTGTCAAGCAGTTTCTGACCAGCAAAAACATTACTGTGATGGGGTATCCTCCTAATTCACTTGATTTGGCTCTGTGTGACTTTTTAAAATTTCCTTATTAAGTTAAATCTTGCTTAAAGGAAAGCCATTTTACCTGAGGCAAAAACGGAGAATCTCCTGAAAGGCATTCCAAAAACCTCATTGCAAAACTGTTACCAGCAATCAATGGCAGCACTGAATGTGAGTGGGTGAATGCTGAAGGTTATAATGTCTTATAATGTCATGGAGAACTGACTCTGTGAGTACAATGATTTATTGGACCATTTAATTTCTGACTACCAATAAGTATTTGGACACCTATACAAATTACGATATCTGTGGTCCTAAGGTAATCATGGACTCCGCTGGTATATATCGTGTAGGAAACAGCATCGGCTTTAGTCGCATGCAAGATGCCTCGCAGTTCAGAGCTCTCTGATTTCGAGAAAGGTATAATTATCGGGTATCACAAATGTGGCCGATCTTTAAGGGACATATCTAGCAATCTGAAGTGCCCAAAATCGACAGTGGCCTATGTGATTAAGAAGTGGAAGGTGAGCGGTGATTGTCGGAATGTGCCCCGAGTCGGCAGACCAACGAAACTAGGAGATAGAGACTGACGAGTGCTGTCCAGAGAAATTCGGAAGAACCGCACCCAACCCATGGCCCTCATCTGCGAGGAGTTTCAACAGGCATCCGGGAGTATTGTTTCAATGAATACCATCCGTAAGGAAGCACATCTGCTTGGTTTTCATGGCCGTGCTGCTGCCCATAAGCCTTTGATCACAAAGTCCAACCGCACTGCTCTGTTAATGTGGTGCCCCGAAGGGTCCACGCTGTAATTACCTCTCGTGGAGGCTCTACCAACTACAGTCAAAAGTCATTAATTCGGACATCCATAATCCGGACCTCAGAGCTACAAACTTTCTGCGCATGCATCGCGCTTACACATGCACATAAGACCTTTATGGCTGCGCATGCATATAATAAGTTTACGCATGCGCGTTTAATGTATAACGGACGGTATAAGCTAAAATTATCTAATTATTTATTTCAGTTAATGTTGCAGATTGCGTTGTTCCTTAATCTTCGAATTGGATCCGGCTATTATTATTTTTTGCAGACTGTTAGAGAAATTTTATAAAAACTTGAACTTTCGATTATGTCAAATAGAATTTCCGATGCTGGAGCTCCCAAAGGATCTACAAAGCGAAAGTATATTTCGATGTCCATCGAACAAAAAGTGGATAAAGGCATATCCTTTGTTTCTCTAACCATTCTGAAATCTGTTTATCAATTTCACGCTGCTTTGTGGCGGGGGGAGGGGGAACGCTTTATGCATGCACACATTGAAAGAAATGTTTAATAAAGTAAACAAATAAATATTAAGCTTTTTTTTTGTAAATTTTGATACCCTTTAGATCATAATTGCTCTTTATTCCATAAATTACGGTTTCATATTTTTAATTTTATAATTTCTGCATGCCATCTTACCAGATTTAAACTGATGATCTATAATCCCGAATCGCCGAAGTACCGACGAGTCCGGATTAAAGACTTTTGACTGTATTGATTTTGAATAAAGTTAGTTTTTCTTTTCTATCACAGGTGTCCAAATACTTATTGGTAGTCAGTAATACACTAATAAATATACTTCATTTAAACCTTATTTATATGTAATGTCTTAAATTCAAAAGTTAAGTATGGGAATAAGCAGGAAACATTTAGCATTCATGGCCACTTAATTCACTGGGCTCTTAGCAAATTTCATAAGCTATTAAAGTTCATCTGACATTATATCTCATGAGAAATGAATGATGAAAATGCCAAATGCAAATGTCATCCATATTATTTGTAAATTTAAATGTCATTTGCATTGTGATTCTACAAAGACCAAATTTTCCCCTATTCTTGTACAGTGGTTTGCTTAAATTCATCCTGGAATGAATTACAGGTGGATATGATGGTATTATATTATAATATTTCTATCCAATACAAATCAGTATTTTCAGCAGTGAAGTTTATAAAATCAAAGCTGGTGTTATCAATAAAAATTCTGATGTTGAATTAAAATACGTAGCAAGAATAAAAAACAGATACAACAAGGTGTTTCAAATATGACTGGGATTGACTTTTTTTTTAAACCAAAATCTTAATAGTGAATGCAAGAGTTGAGCATGTCATCCTTCAACATATTCTTCTCTAGAGTCGATACAGTTATACCAATGTTCTGGAAACAATTTTATGTTTTTTTTTTCCACAGAAATATTTCATTTGGCTGTGAATCCACACCTGAATACTGACAGTGACAGCACTGTTATCCACAAACTGTGTGCCTTCCAAGGGGAATTAAGCCTAAGACTCAGATTTGAAGTCATGGATACATGTTTCATTGTGGGTCATTATGGGCTTCCAATATGCATCACTTTAT